ATATATATATATAAAATCAAGTAAAAATTTTCTTTTAACAGCAGATATCTATGTACAAAATCATAGTATTACGTATATACAAAATCACAGCGTTATGTATAATACTAATCTTTATTTGCTAGATAATTTTTACCTGAATCAGAATTGAAGTCACTGTAATATTCTTCATCATAATTTTCACGAGAACTTTTTGTTGAATCAGAGTTGTTAAAATCATTAAGTGTATGATATGTTTCATTATTTTCATGATCGTCTATCTGTTCATAATCACTATCAGAATCCAACACATATCTTCTTGTCTTTTTATTTATATTCGGATGGACAACAGGTGTACTGTCATCTTCATTACCTTTATAATTCCTGTATATAAATATTTATTAAAAAATGTTTGTATCCATTAATTTATATTTCAGTTAATTTTAATTATTTTAGTTATAATAAACATGATATACAAGATGTAACTAAAAGACAAACTTTGGAGACGAGCTCCTCACCAAATTTAAAAAGAAAGTTAATATGAACATAGCAAATCCACTGTTATTGAGATTATTAATAGGGCTCGGATACGATCTCTCGATCTCAATCCACTCGATTTTAAAGCTCCTTTAATTTATTCAGATCAACATCGAAGGTATGCTACTCCAACGCATCTTTAATGCTCGTGAAACTATTCGCAACCTCTCGGGATTTTTGGAAGTCTCCATGACCCATGTATATATTGAATCAAATGAGAGACACTTTGAAGAATACTCTACTATAATACTCTATGATCGGTCAATTTCTTACGGTTTACAATTAGTGCTTAAAGTTTAAATTTTACGTCTTAATCCGGATCTACAATAGGTTTTTAAACCTTAAGCCATAAACCAAGAAATAAACGAATCATAGTCAATTATTCTCCTAGCATTCGACTGTAATTGATCAATTTCTTATGGCTTAAAGTTTGAAACACCTATTGTAAATCCAAACTAAAATCTCATTGTAGATGCTGGGTTAAGGCTGGGTTGCACAAACGAGACATTTTATGTTTAAAGTTAAAGTAAAGTTTATATCTTTCCGTTTTAAAGTCGAAAGAGAGATAAACAGAGTTTTGAATCTCATTTAAAGTCAAAGTAACGTCGATGTAATCGATCTAAGAGTAAAAAACTGATAATGTAATACTAATTTTATGATTTATTAGCTAGATATATGTATACATATTTAAAACTCAATGTATATATACTAATACTCGTTTTTTGTTAAACTTACGATTTTAATGTTTTTGTACGAATTTGATTATCAATAGAGATGATAACTATATAAAGAAAAAAAATTGTAATTTCGCAGCATTATGTATATTATAGCATTACAAGTACATATTTATTTATGCAGCACTTATATAAAAATTATAATTGTAATAATGTATTATCTAAATATATTTATAATATAAATTTATAATATATAATATATTTAATAAACATATTTATATCAATTATTGATATCATTGTTCTTCGATTACTCCCACCCTATTGATATACTATTAAAAAAACAAAAATTTGCTTCCGTTACATATAATGGAAGCAAATTTCAAGCAGGTATATTAAAAATATTTAATGTTGTCAATAAAAACGAAGTTATAAGTACTTAAATTGAACGTTTACTTACATTAAATTTCATGCAAATCTACATAAAATTTAATGAAAAATATACTAAATTTCTTAAAATTTTATTGAAAGTACACTAAAGTTCATGTACATGTACACAAATATACTTTTCCGTTCCAGATACAGTAAATTTAATTTAGTGTCATAAAATTGAATTTAATTTACGTAACTTAAAGATACATTAAATTTTATAATATTTTAACAGTGTACGCTGTTAAAAAAACAGAAATTTGCTTCAATTACATGTAATGGAAGCAAATTTCAAGCAGGTAAATATAAATATAAATATTTAATGTTGTCAATGAAAATGAAATTATAAGTAACTTAAATTTAATGTTTACTTACATTAAAATTCATGCTTATCTACATAAAATTTAATTAAAAATATACTAAACTTCGAAAAATTTTGATAAAGCAGTATATACTGAAGCAGTATATACTTTCAGAACGTAAAGTGAGATAGATATATACATAGATATGATGTTTGTTTTAAACGAGAGAATTCTAAAACAATCTAATGCGGGAACAGAAAACAGACCACTTGTATTCTAACATCATGGTCCCATGGAATACTATGAATACCGAAAATTCAAGAAACAGAATTGGAAAAGTGAAATGGTGAGAGCAACCAGTCAGCATCGTTTCGAAATTTCATACGCGTTATAACTACTCGCATTTACTGTTTTTTCTTCTATTGTTCAGAAAATAAAAAAGTAAAATATCATTTGTAAATAATTTATATATGATTATTACATATTATGTCAATATTAAATGAATATTATTCACATGAGTCTCCTATCATTCAATGTCATTTCTATTCTTTGTAACGAAAAAATGTATCACAACAAACAAGGCAACAGCTGATCGTCAGGTAATTCTTTTGTTTCAAATAAAGGGATTATCTTCACGCAACTATAGGCAGGTCATTAAAATTTAACTTCGATATCGATAATATACTTATTAAAGACGGCTGGTTTTTATGGAAGTTCACGTAATTGTTAAAATTTATATATTAATATAATTTTATCAATAGAATATTTACTTCTTCGGTGTAGTATCCTCGATAGAATTATCGGCATCATCCTCGATTTCTATGCTCTCGTCAACAATTATTTGTTTATCCGGTTTGTCGTTCTCCCTTGAATCATTGATCTCATCCTCGCTGTCGGAGATTATCACAGAATTGTCTTCGACTCGATAATTGGAAGAATTACGCCACTGCGTGAAGCTATTTTCGCTCCTTTCCATTTCTTGAATCAAATCAATCCGTAAAAAGTAACGTGGTGATAAATAAGTAAAATATAATCCTATGTTCGTCCTATCTTCTTATTTTATCTATGAACTGAAACCGACCCGACATATAAGAATGTTTTGCGTTGCACAAACTTGCATGAACTCGCAACTCGCACGCGGAACAGTCGACAACTGTATTTAAGAATCATTTTAAATCTGTTACCAACAGGACGACGACGTAGGTCGACAGATGATGCATTAGGTCTGTTCGCGTTTCGCATGAAATCCCCAAATATTTTTGCACTTAAAATGAGATACATATTTTGCCTCAAAAAGGGAAAAAGCGAAGATGTCGAGTGCAAGCCAAAGCGAGCAGGGAATCGATTCCCTGTATCTTGAAAATTATAAAAGTGAGTGAATTTACTAGAATACTGATAATTTCATTGGTTAACACCTAGTAAATTTACTTACTTTTGTAATTTTCACTTTGTTTGAAGATTCAGAATCGACTCCTAGGTCTGATCTTTTTGGCTGAACTTTTGAGTCAGTTCATCTTTTTTCTTTTTCTCTCCAAGAAGAAAGAAGAAGAAGAAAAATTAACTGGTGCAAAAATTCTGCTAAAAAGAACAGGACCTATAGACTGCGTTCAACAGAACACAACAATTTTACAACCGTATTATGATGCTCTGCTGAGATAGGATCGTTCCTCTCGATCTAAAAGCATAACCCAATCAGCGTGAAGAAAACTTCTAACAGTTACAAAATAAACGTTCTGCTGAACGCAGTCATTCCTTGATTTTTCCTGAGCGATTTAACGCAAATTCAAATTGATTTTAATTTATCGATCAAATACTTTAAGCCTAGTTCCACAATTCATAGGCTGGTATTTATAGTTGAGTCTTATTTCAAGACCGTCTTAAGCAATGTCTTATGACATTTTTGATTGGTTCGTGACTTCTTAAAACCGTACTTAAGACGGTCTTGAATATAAGATCTGACTATGAATACCGGCCATAATTAATTCTATTTAAGCGAAGTTTAACTTAGTCCTCATCTGTTTCTAATTCTATAATCGGAAAGAGATTAATTGTTTTGTAAATTGAATGTAGATTAATTGTAATTAATCGTCTCGATTCAACGTTTCCCGATAGGAAAATTAGTGCAACACTAGTATACACTGAGTGCAATTGAATTGCAAATTAATTTACATATTTTCAGTATTAATAAATAGTTTAATCCTTTTAATTACATAGTCTTTATTATTATGTTGATAAACTCATAACCTTAAGAAGAATTAAATTTTTATTAACACTAAAAATATTTTAATCGATTTATACTAAATTGCATCTGTGTTGTTCTAGTTTTTTGTTATGCATCTGCTAAAGTTGACAGTACTGTATACTAAATTTAATGTTCGTATGTGTATGTGTGTACATTTTTTTTAGGTTTGGAATGCATTGAGGTTATATTACATATATTGCAGGTTTATCAAAATATGTCAGAATTATAAATTAATCTGAGAAGAGAGATAGTGCTTAAATTCATAATGAATTAAGATATTAGTCCTGAAAATGGCAGCTTTAATAAAAAAACGAGTACTAGCTGAATTTAATCAGAGCCAGGCGGTAATATTACCATATATTTTTTTCTATTTATAAAGCATAGCTACTTAAATCATTATTTTAACAAATTACAAAATTTTTAATCAGATTGTTAATGAGCCTCCAATCAAACGGCTAAAGACTCTAAGATTATTATCGACGTCTGGTTCGAAGAATGGTACTGACAGTAGCTCAGCATTAGCTTACATAGAATGCTTGGAGAAATGTAAAAGTGGAAATGATGCGTTGCAATTGCTTGTTCGTATTTCGGATGCTATAGCGTATATAGCGCCAGAGGATGTTCCCATTGCTATAAAGAAATTAGCGGAGAGATTTGTTGTCGAAAATGAAATTGCAGTTAGAGCCAAAATTTTCTGGGTGTTTGCTGAATTAGGAGAAGTAACGCCTGATACTTTGGAAAAAGCGAAAATTGTGAATGAAACAGCTGAACTTTTGAGGAACGAGGAATCACATAGAGTAAAAAGTCAGGGATTAGCAACATTACTAAAGTTAGGAGATTATCAAAGGTGTACATACATATTGTATTTTCTCTTTCTATTTTTTTCTTTGATGTAATTTGTATGCATATATATATATTTGCTACTATAATTTACATATTTGCTTTAGTTAATAAAATAAAAACTTTTTATTGATAAATTAATGAGAAGAAATATTTTTGTATCTTTAGAGCACTAGTATTGAAGATTGCACAAGAACATTTGCCTGACACATGGCATGGTGTTCAAACACGATGTCTTTCGATTATCGGACGTTATCTAACTGCAAATGCTGCTGATGATACCTTAACATTAATTGGTAATTATGCCCGTTCTCAAGATCCACGGGTTCGTGCTCAAGCTTTCGAAACTATGGCAGAATTACATTCTCATAGAGGTTGTAGACTCCCTGCGAGTTTTTTCAAGGAAGCTTGTGCAGCTCTTGGCGATGATTATGAGATTGTACGCCGAGCTGTTCTTAAACTTATCTATCTTTTAGGTCGGGAGTATCCAGAAAAGTCAGTGTATAAATATAAACATATTTTAAAAATAAAATCTAATTTTTTTTTTACATGTTTCTTTTATATATTATAGTATTGTTGTTGGATCTGATGGAGAAGATGTGCGAATGGTAGACTGTGCCTTTTCACAAATTTGCAGTCTTATGGGTGATTTATCACCTCGTGTTAGAGCTTCAGCAATGTCCCTTTTGGGAACCATGAAAAGTGTGTCACGTCGCTACATAGAACAAGCCTTGGATAAAAAACAGAAAGTAGTTGAAGCAGACAGACCCGAAGTTGAAGAGAAAAGTGGTTCTTGTGGAGCATTCATTCATGGTTTAGAAGATGAATTTTTAGAGGTACGAATTTTTATCACATTATGTAAATTAAGAATTTTCATAGAATATTTATTAAATCATCGAATCAAAAATTTATATTTCACGTTTTTTCAAATTTGATATTATAGTTTGATATTATAGTTACTTAAAAATAGTTTAATTATAATTAAACTTTTTTTTTCTATGATCATTTCTCATATCGATTAAAAATTAATTTTATTTTAGGTAAGAACAGCAGCAGTTGAAGCACTCTGCACACTTTCGTTAGAACAACCAAGTATAGCTAGAATTTCATTGGACTTTATGGTGGACATGTTTAATGATGAAATTCAGGACGTCAGATTAAGAGCTATTGAATCTTTAAAGAAAATGTCGTCAAGTGTAACTCTTCAAGAGGACCAATTGGAAACAATTTTAGGCGCTTTAGAAGATTTCTCGGGAGAAGTGAGAGAAGGCTTGCACGCTATGCTAGCTGCTAGTCATCTCGCTACCACAAATTGTCTTTACATGTGCGTTAATCGTTTGCTAGATAATTTATCTCGGTATCCTCAGGACAGAGAGAGTATCAGGAGTTGTTTAGCAGAATTAGGCGCATCACATCCGTACTTAACGTTACCTCTAGTACCACAACTTCTTGGCCGACATCCTTTCTTCGACACACCCGAGCCAGATGTGGATGAGCCATCCTGTATCCTTTATATCAATTCTCGTCATGTAAATAGTATTAAATTTCGAAGATGCAATGTCCTTAACTTTTTGTGTTAACTTTTTATAACAGATGCAAGTGTGCTTGTTTTAATCTTCAACGCAGCATTACACTGTCCAAGTATGCATGCT